AGTTTGAGGACAGCCTGGGCTACAGGAGACTGTCTCATAAAGGGAAAGAAAAAGAGAAGGGTGAGGTGGCACACACCTTTAATCCCGACACTTGGGAAGCAGAAGCAGGTAGATCTCTGTGAGTTCCAGACCAGCTGGGGCAACAGGGAGACCCTGTCACCAAAAAAAAAAAAAGAAAGAAAGAAAGAAAGAATAAAAAGGAAAAAAGAAAGAAATGGGGCAGAGAGGAGAGGAGGGGAGCAAGGGAGAGAGAGAGAGAGAGAGAGAGAGAAAGAAAGAAAGAGAGAGAGATAGAGAGAGAGAAAGAAGGAAGGAAGGAAAGAAAGAAAGAAGGAAGGAAGGAAAGAAAGAAAGAAAGAAAGAAAGAAAGAAAGAAAGAAAGAAAGAAAGGGTTTCATGTCGGGGAGAGAGGGTACAAAGCTCAGTGGTAGAGCATACACTTAATATGCACAAAGCGCTAGGTTTGCTCTCCAGGGGAAAAAAAATAAGCTTCCAATTCCACTTCCAGAAATTCTGATCCCATAAGGCTAGTGCAAGAAATCAGGAAATAAAATGTTCCTGATCCTGAGTGATGCCAAGGCCGCAAACAGCCTATGGGGTAGGCAGGGACTTAAAACTCTACAGCTGAGAAAGAGTTCCATCACTTGGAGGCCCTCCCTTGCTGCACTTAATTCTCACTAACCTTGGGAACCGATGCCCACTGAGCCAACAGGTATAGATAGAAAGGATATTTGCATCTTGGAAGAACCCCAAGCTCTCCCGAGCCCCTACCTCTGAGGACTGGCTGTCCAGGCCAGATAGTTCCAGTCCTTTTGCGTTGGGGGGTTGAGATAGGGTCTCACTGTGTAGCCCTGGCTGGCTTGAATTTCCTATGTAGACCAGGCTGGCCTTAATCTGCCTGCCTTGGTCTCCCAAAAGAATTAAAGACATGTGCAACCATGCCCTGTGAAACACCCTTTTAAAAACAAATGTCTCTGGTGTTGATTCCCAGCTCTTTCATCCTTTGCTTTTTTGTTTGTGGCTGTTTTTGTTGTTGTTTTGACAGTTTTACTACCTAGACCCAGCTGTCCTGGAATTTCCTATGCACATCAGGCTGGCTGTGATCTCACAGAGATACTTCTCTGCCACTGCTGGGATTAAAGGCCTGTGCCACTACCCACAACTCATTTCTTATAGAGGGACACCTCACGGGGGTGTAGGGCAGGGAGGACCAGTCACCATGTACCCTGCTGTGCTGGACATCTGGTTTCCCTGACAACCCTCAGGGCAACACAAGTGGGGAAATAAGGAATCAAATGCTCAGGCTGTTTCAAGACTTGCTCAAGACCTCTCAGTGCGAACTCCACCCTGCTGCATATTCCTGTAGCCCCAGCCCCTCAGGAGGCTGAGGCAAGAGGCTTGCCTGGAGTTCGAGGCCACCATGGACTACATAGTAAGTCCTAGTCCTCCTTGGGCAAGTATGAGTCCTTGTCTCAAAAAATTAAAAATATGGAGGCTGGAAAGATGACTCAGCAGTTAGGAGCACTGGTTGCCTGTGCAGAGGACCCAGTTCAATTCTCAGCACCCACATAGTGGTTAACAACTGTCCATTAACTCCAGTTCCAGAGGAATCCGACATTCTCTTCTGCCTCTGTGAGTGTTGTACTCACAGGGTGCACTTACATACATGCAGGCAAAAGGTTCATATACATAATTTTTTTTTAAATTAATTAAAAATATATAATAGCTGAGCCAAGTGTGGTGGTGCACACCTTTAATTCCAGTATTCAGGAGGCAGAAGCACGCAGATATTTGTGAGTTTAAGGATAGCCTGGTCTACATAGCAAGTTCCAGGCCAAATAAAGTTACAGAGTCAGATTCTGTCTCAAAAATATATATGGAGGCTGGAAAGATGGCTCAGTGGTTAAGAGTACTTGCTGTTCTTGCAAAGAAAGCAGATTCAGTTCCCAGCACCCACACAGTGGCTCTCAATCCTCTGTTAACTCTGGTGCCAGGGGATTCAACATCCTCTTCTGGCCTCTGGGGGTTCAAGACAGGCATGTGGTGCACATACATATATACATGCAGGCAGAACACTCATACACATAAAATGAAAATAAATCTTATATATACATATAATAAAATTAAAATAACAAAAAACAGAGTTGGGGTATAGCTCAGTGGGAGAATGCTTGCCTAGCACGTTTGAGGCACTGAGTTTGATCCGTGGTGCTACAAAACCAAAATAAAAATAAAAATCCTCCAGTCTGTTTGAGGTTTGTTCTTTGCCAATAAATGGAACCTCAGTAGAGTTCACAGAACAGAAATTGAGGCTAAAGATGCCTAATTTTGCTGAAAAACAGGCAGCTAAGGTTTAGAGAGAAAAAAATGACTTGTCAGGATAACAAAGCTAGAGATTGCAAACCAGATACTTTGAAAGGTAACGTGGAGCCCCTCTGTTCATCCAATACTTTGGCAGAGCCACAAGCTCCCAATTCCAATGGTAAGGTGCGTTGATAACTTCCAGTAAGGTGGCAATTGGACACAGTGTGCTAGGATGTGTTAGGAGGAAATGCAGGATGGAAAACCCTACAGAGGTTCCATCAAGGAGGCCTAGACCCATCCCCAACCTCCCACATTTATCTTCCTACTTCTACTGGACCAAAGAAGACCAGAGAGGCCTGGTTGCCCAGGAAGAACTGGGAGACCACAGCCAGATGTAGAAGAGGGGTTGTCTGGGTGACTAGACTGCCAAAGGACTCTGGTTGCCTTCAGTGGTTACATTTCACCTTTAAAGACGCAATTCTTACTTCACACAAGGAAGCTGAGGCTTAGCGTTGACATCATTACTGACTCATATCAAGTCCTTCCACTTCATCTCTGCCCAGTGAGGCCTTGGCAGCAGTTGGCCTTGCAGTGGAAGTTATGGGGCGGTGACTTCACTACAGCCACAGGAAGAGGAGTGGACCGGCTCGCTCAGCCTCTTGTTCTCTCTGGGTGCTGGCGAGCCCCCAGTGAGCTTGGCTGCCTGGAGGTCCCCTTTACTGCTGTGGGGCAAGGGGCTGCAGAGGCTGCCACAGTCCTGCTGCTTCAATTTGGTGCCCCAGGCACATCCCTCCCCCTAGCTGGGTCACCCCTGAAGGACCTGTTCCCAGCAAGGTTATGACGAGAGGGAGGGCCACACTGCTCTGTTGGCCAATCTATGGTCAAAATGTGCCAGAAGGGAAGTGGGAAGACTTGGTTCCTTCTAGGAAAATAGGGTGTCCTTACTAAAACCCAAATAGCTAAAGATGACTTCTGAGCTCCCGCACTCCTCCTCTCACTCCTGCACACCAGCACAGCAACGACATCCAGTTCCATGCATGGGCACGGTCTCACCTCCAGGCTGCGGCACTAGCTTCTCCTGACTGAAACATGCTGAGTCCTCTTCATCTGTGTCAGTTAGTTGCTTCCAGAAGATTCCTCCTCTCAAAGTTTAAGAAAACTTGATTTCTTCAGAAACAGGTGCCCAGCCTAAGGAACAAGGCTTACTCTATGGCCTTTGCTGCCTTGCCAAACTCATTAGAGATGTCCTCAGACCCATTTTCTGGCTAACCACATCTGGGGAAACTGCTTCCCGGATGACTTCACTTAACGGTTCTAAGGTGTGGTGCTGCCACAACCTTCCTGGCACTGAGGGCAGAAACGGGATAAGGCCATTTCCTTGGAATCACTGAGCGTGAACACCTGAAACCCCTGGTCTCCAGATTCAGGTGACCAAACATACATTTATCTTTCCCAGTTACCCCTCCAACTGAAACCATTTCTAAATAATGCATTTCCAGCTCCTACTGGACAGGTCACTTTCTCCAGGAAACATGCCCTGATGCTGACAGGAGCAAGGGTCCCCTCAAGACTGGCAGGTCCATGGTGCCCTCCTCCATCTTTGTACCTGTTCCCTCATTCTGTGCCTAGCTGTGAGGGAGAGAGTGGGGGTATCTGGGCATTTTACTTCCACGCTAGCCTATCTGTTGGAGTAAACACAACTGTACGTAACTGCTGGCATGGCCTTGCAGGGTGGCTGAATGGAATCAGCACCCTAAACGCTCTGATATGAGCGTGAGCACCCATATGCTGGAGCAGGTGCTGCTCTACCTGCCAGGAAACCTCCAGAAGCTGCTCCCTGCACAAGACAATCTGTATCGCCTCATGACACACAGCAGCTGTGTAAGGCGACGCATTTCCTTCCCTCTGCTGTGGGCTGGTACTAGGAGCCACACCCAGTCCTGCGAGGTAACTCAGGCGGTTGGACATGCTCTGCTAAGCACTCAGGACAGTGGTCCAAGCTTTGACTACCACCCAGGGAAGCAAATCAAAGGTGCAATGCACCTGGATCTTGCTACCGCTTAGTAATCATCCATCCGCTGACTCATCGACAGGCAGTGGAAAAGCAAAACGTCACTCTGCGTCACTGAGTTTCTCATCCTGTTGCACTTCACATACCTTTATACTCCTTTTATGCCCCGCCACAGGCTGCTCTTGTCTTCCATAGCAAGCAGGACACCTGAGCATGAACGGTAAGCTGGATGTTTTCACAGGTGACTCAAAGTGATCAGTATCTTCGCTTTATACACATAGCATATGGGCAACGTCCGTGAATACGGTAGCCATCTAAGACCTACCACACAACCCCCCCGAAAAAACTGCTACATTTTTTTGGTTTTAGTGGTGGTACTGGGAAAGAAACTCAGGGCCTCACCCAAACATCCTACTACTGACTCTTAGTCAGCCTTCTGCCATAGTAAATATTCCTTTATTTTTGCTGTGCTCAGGACTGAATTTAGAACCTCATCTATACTGGGCAAGCACTCTACCACAGAGTATTTCCCCAGCCCCATAGTCCCATTCTGTAGGTAAAGTTAAGATTCGACAGATTTAGTGTAGGGAGCCATGTGTATCCAACTACAAGGCATTCCAGGACTGGGGCATGCAAGATAAAGGACCCACTCTTGGATAACACCTGAGAAAGAATACATCAAAGGTTTGGGTAAAAAAATTTATTATACATTAAGAACATTACTGCTGTTGAATACAGACAAGCTAGGACACAATGGGACTGGATGGAAGATGGCTGGCTCTTTGGAAAGTAAACAGGTTTAGGAGGCTTGGGGCCTCATGCCACGCTGATTGGTCAGTCAGAAGGACATATGCCAAACACCACAGAGCATCAGAGCATCCAGTGACTGCCCTGTGAGTCCACAACACCTCACCTGTCTGATCTAGGACTTTGAGGATGGCATCCCCAGAAGCAAGCAAAGGGGCTTCCTAAGGTGGCCCAGGCTTGTCTCTGAAGTCACGGCAACACCATTGTAAGCAAGACATTTAATTGGATGATTTTCACAAACTGTACATGACATTTCTAACCATCACAATTCAGTGAAGTACAAAACATTAAGTTACAGACTGTGGGAAGGGAAGGCGGCAACAGGGTTGGCACCTTCCCATCCTGGTGGTTCTATGGGTAAGGACCAGGGGAAGGTTAAACCAAGCCCCTCCTTTCAATGTACAAAAGAATTACTCTGATATTAAATTGTATTGAAAACAAAATGGACTAAAAAGCAAATGCTACTCTATGTCGGGTGAAGTGGGAGGAACGAATGAGTCCTTTGAAGCAGGAGGGGACAGCTGGGAAGCTTCGGGCTGTGACCCTGCTGGTCACTCACGCTGCTCCATTTTTACTTTTGGTTGTCTCAGAAAGGTCCGGTTCTTCTTCTCCTTCTTCCCTTTAGTATTTGCTTGGAAATTTCGCCAACTGTCCACTCGACCATCTCGACTTTCCTAAGAAAGAAAATAGAAGAACCAAAACAGTTTGAGGTGAGGAGCCTAGTTAACAAAAAGAAAGGTGCCTGCCACCTATCTGCCCTCCCAGGCAGGGCTCAGCTCAGTCTTCTGGAATGACCCAAGAGTAGACCAGAGCACAGACTTCCTCTTACCTCCAGTGACCCAGAAAAGCTCAAAGCACCCTCTCAGAGGACACAAGGAGTGCCTCTCCCAGCAGCAAGCTAGCCACTGTGGCCTCTGGGCTATGTATTAAGCACAGTTGCTTGTTATTTCCTCTACCCCTGAGCTACACACCCAGTCCTGGCTCGACATTTCTAACCCCACAGGAAAGCTGATATGACCAGCACGAGACAAATGATGAGGGATGACACTAAGTGAAGTCCACAGCACAGCTACTTTCCTCACTGCCTTCCTGCTGCCCATGAAAACAAGGGTGGCATGTCGCAAAGCCAGCTAATCTGAGAGGGCTGAGGAATGTTTGCTCTCGTTTCTTAAAGCGGGCCAGACACAAAGCCAACAATTCTGGTTAGCCATGCCCTACCCTGAGTTCTAAGTCCTATAAAGACAGACTCAATGTTGCTACAATCCACAAGTGGTCCAAACACTTGAAGGGTAGCAAAGAATCACACCTGTAATCCCAGCACTTGGGAGGCTGGGGTAGGATTATCACCAAGGGCTCAAGGCCAGTCTGGATTACAAAGACAGTTCTAGGCCAGCCTGGGCTACTAAGTGAAATGCAAAAAAAAACCTCACAAGTCTCTCTGCAAGGACAATGGAGCCACAAAAGCCCGAGTTTCTGGCAGGGTATGGTGACCCACATCGGAAATCCAGCACTTAGGAGGCTGAGGCAGGAGGATCAGGAGTTCAAGGTCGGCATCAGCTGCATAGCAAGGTCAAGGCCAGACTGGGTTATATGAAAACCCTGGGTTTTTTGTTTGTTTTTTTTTTGTCTTTTTGAGACAGGGTCTTCCCTGTAGCCCCAGATGTCCTGGAACTTACTACATAGACCAGGCTGGCCTTGAACTTAGAGAGACCCGCCTGCCTCTGCCTCCCGAGTGCTGGGATCAAAGGGGCGCGCCACCACGCCTGGCCGACAATCCTGTCTTAATCCTTACTACTACATCAAAGTTTCTAGCAACTGTTCACTGAGCTAAGTAGGGCACAATTTCCTGTTTACCTCCCAAATTCATCTTTCTTGGGCCCATCTGATAGCTGTGTCTAGCACTGCCCTTGCCAGGGAAAGAGAGTGTCCAGAAAGGTGAGGCAGGCCCAGATTCTTCCATAGCTCCCACCCTCGGCCAATCAGCCCTTCCCCTCTGTCCACCCCAAAGTCCTGGAGTGGGAGCCACCCGGCACCTCGAAGTTCTTCTGCCACTCCCTCTCTCGTTTGGCTTTCTCTTGAGCTTCAATCTCCTCTTCTCTCTGTCGCTTTCTAGAAAAAAAGCAGAGCCCAATATTTGCTCAATGCACACAGGCAGATTAAGGCATGACTCACATAAACAAACACAGAAGCCCAAGTCCCCAAAGCTCTGTCCAACAAGGGCTCAAAGCGTCTTCACCAAGGTCTCATTCTAAAACACGAAGAGGACAAAACCCAACCCTAAAATAATGACCCTTCACACAAACTCAACTAGAAGTCAATCATTCCTTAATACTAGCCAGCAATACAAAATACAGAACCACATTAACCTTGAAATTTCCTTTTGGTTTTTTGAAACAAGGTCTCATGCACTTCAAGCTGGCCTCAAACTTCCTATGTAGCCCAGAATGTCCTTAAACTCCTCATTCCTCTGCCTCACCTCCTTAATGCTGGGATTATAGTGCACCACCATGCCTGGCAACCTCAATATTTCTGATTATCAAAGGAAATCATACTTCAGAACAATAACATTGAGCTATACTCCTGGCCTTCCGTCCTCTATGACCACTGTCTTAAATGATGTGGCACCTAATTCCTTCAGTAGGAAAATCCCCAGAGACCACTATTGGCTAATCTAGATATTTAAATACAGTTTGAATAATTACAGAAACTGGACATGGTGGTACACACCTTTAATCTCAGTACCCAGGAGGGCTCCATTTTTACTTTTGGTGGTCTCAGGAAGGTCCGGTTCTTCTCCGTCTTCCCTTTAGTATTTGCTTGGAAATTTCGCCAACTGTCCACTCGACCATCTCGACTTTCCTCGAAGTTCTTCTGCCACTCCCTCTCTCGTTTGGCTTTCTCTTGAGCTTCAATCTCCTCTTCCCTCTGTCGCTTTCTTTCATGCATTTCTTTGGCTTCTCTCTCTTTCCTTTTAATTTCCAGCTCAGCAAAGAGCTTCATGGTCTGTTTGTACACTGCTTGCTTAAACTACAAGAAAATTAAAGACAAAAGAAAAGTAAACATTTTACCTCACGTTTGATTGCATTTAAGAGTCCAAAAGATTGGAACTGCGGGAGGAAAAAAAGATTTTTAAGGGAGACCAGTTAACAACACTGCCTCTTGGAGTGATAAGTAATTCATATATCTGTGAAATCTTTCCTCTTCTATCAAGCAGATTGTAAATGAAACCCTGGTTCTGCTAAAAAAAATAAAAAACAAAAATTTAATATTTTATTTATTTATTTTTGGTCTTTTTTGTTTTTGGTCTTTTTGAGACAGGGTCTTCCTGTAGCCCCAGCTGTCCTGGAACTCACTATGTAGACCAGGCTGGCCTTGAACTCACAGAGATCTGCCTGCCTCTGCCTCCTGAGTCCTGGGATTAAAGGCGTGTGACACCACGCCCAGCTTTATTATTTTTATTTTATGTGTATGAGTGTATTGCCTGCATGTGTCATTCAATGCCTACAGGGGTCAAAAGAGGGCATTAGATTCCCCTGGAACTGGAATTACTAACAGTTGTTAGCCACCATGTGGGTGCCGGGAATCAAACCTGGGTCCTCTGCAAGAGCAACCAGTGCTCTTAACTGCTGAGCTATCTCTAACACACAAAAAAACATAAAGAAGAAAAAAAAAATTCTACTTTTTTCACCACCACTTGAAATTTTGGAGGGTGCTTTCCTTCAAAAATCTTCTAAGACTAAATTTTATTCTTCCTTTTCAGAAATATTTATAATTATTGATTTAGTGACTAGAACCAAGGAAGCTAATTCCTCCCTAGCAGATGGTCGCAGAGCTACCAGTTACCTTCACCCTCCAACTACAATCCTGTCGTAAGGGACAAAGCCACCCCAAAACCCGTAATTTCCAGGTTTCCTTATAGCTAGGGATGGTTATGTAACTGGAATGCAAGGGAAAGTGATAGATACAACTTCTGGAAAGTTCCTAGAGGGAGTGGCATTTTCCTTCTTTCCCCTTGACTCTACTGCCTGGCACAAAGGTGAGGTACTGAGCCATCCTGACAAAGGAGGACAGGGGCCACACACTTGTTGGCAGAGCCAGAGAGAAAGCACCTTAGAGGACATAGTACAGAGCGGTCATACCAGCTGTCATCCTCCCTAAGACAACTGCTCAGGACAGAAACATCTCTACCTTGCTCAAACATTATTCTGTCTCACTGTCACCAGGTGACCTTATACTCTAACCAATGCATTGAAAGGAACAGAAAGTATGGCACTGGATAGAAAATACAAAGGTCAAGAGCCTTTGTAGTTTTAGTCTGCAGTTCTGGTGATAAAACCTAAAGACCCTAAGCATGCTAGGCAAGAGGTCTACCACTACGTTAAACAGGCAGCCTGCTGAGGGGCTTTTAAGGAGGTATGTAACAGTCTTACAGAGGTATCATTAGAATGCATACCACTTACAGAAAAGTAAGCAAAGGTAAGTGACTTAGACTCCTGTTTGTTTATTTTTAATATTTTATTATTTCTATTTTATGCATATGCGTGTATTGCCTGCATGCATAAGTGCACCGTGTTGTACAATGCCTGCGGAAGTCAGAAGAGGCTGTTGGATCCCCTGGGACTGGAGTTATGGACAGTTGTTAGCTACCATGTGGGTACTGGGATTCGAAGTCTGGTCTTCTTCAAGAACAACCAGTGTTCTTAACTGCTGAGCCATCTTTCCAGCCCTGTTTATTTATTTTGCTTTCAGAAAGTTTGGTGAAGTTCTTTTTGTTTTTTGTTTTCAGTGGGGTTGTTTGAGATAGGCTCTCACTATGTAGTCCAGGCTGACCTGACCTCAAACTCAAGGCAATCCTCTGCCTCAGCCTCCCAAGTCTGGGACGTACCTCTACACCTGACTCAGAGAGGTCAAGAACAGAAACTATGTTCTTCGTCTGTCTTTGCAGTGTTTTCTTCCCAGATCTAAAGTACTTTGGATTATATAAGAAGTACAGACCATAATCCACCATATGGATACAGTAGGGTCATGTACTGAGATCTGAGGCACTGGAGCAAAGTGCTATGTGCAGAGAAAGAGGAATGAAGGCATCTCAAACTTCTGGTCACTTCTCTTTAATACTGTGCACTGCCAGGAGCTGCTCAGTAAAAACAATGCTGACAAGCCAGGCATGGTGGCGCACCCCTTTAATCCCAACACTCAGGAGGCAGAAGCAGGCAGATCTTTGTGATCAAGGCCAGCCTGGTCTACATAGTGAGTTCTAGGTCAGCTGGGGGTACATGGGAGACCCTGAATCAAAATCAAAATGGAAAAAAAAAAAAAAACCCAACAAAAACAACAAACAGTAAATCACAATGCTGACAAACTCCTGTCTGTAACAAGGACATCAAATCAGTAAAGGAACCTGTAATAAACACTTCAATATCTTTGTGGGGGGAAGGTGTGTGCATGTTTTCATATGAGTACACATATACAGGTCTGCATGAGGGGGACATGTGGATGCCTGCAGTCTACACTGTGACTCTCCCTCAACTGCTCTCCACTTTACTGAACAGAGGAAGGGTCTCTCACTGAATCCGGAACTCACTGCCTGTGGCTAGTACAGTTACCAGCCAACCCCACAAATACCGGGTCTGCTCCCAGAATGCTGGATCACAGGTAGTCACCATGCCACTTCTGCTTGGAATCTGGGGGTCTGAACTCCAGTCCTCAGACACACAAGGCAAGTACTTTATCTGCCGAGTCATCTCCCAATATTTCAGTATCTTAAAAAAACCTTTAGATAGGGGCTGGAGAGATGGCTCAGCGGTTAAGAACACTTGGTTGTTCTTGAAGAAGACCCAGGTTCGAATCCCAGGACCCACATGGCAGCTAACAACTGTCCGTAACTCCAGTCCCAGGGGATCCGACAGCCTCTTCTGACTTCTGTGGACACTGCACAACATGGGTGCACTTACCTACATGCAGGCAATACATGTATACACATAAAATAAAATTAAAAAAAAAAAAAATCAATCAAATTTAAATTTTAAGTAAAATAAGTCTTTTTGAAAAACAATTGCTAGGCTAGGCATGGTGGCACACACCTTTAATCCCAGCATTCAGAGACAGAGGCAGGTAGATAGATCTCTGAGTTCAAGGCCAACCTGGTCTACATAGTGAGTTCCAAGGGCGCTAGGACTACAGGGAGACCCTGTCTCAAAAAGACCCAAAAAACAAACAAACAAAAAAAAAACAGAACAAAACAAAAACAATTGCTGCCAGGCAGATCTCTGTGAGTTCAAGGCTAGCATGGTCTACATAGCAAGCTAGCCAGGGCTACATATGAGACTCTGTCTCAAAAAATAGACTGGAGAAGGATCATGGTTAAGAACTCTTGCTGCTCTTTCAGAGGACCTGGGTTCTGTTCCCAGCACCCAAATAGCAGCTCACTCTCTGTAACTCCTGCTGCAAAGAATCCAATGCCCTCTTCTGGCCTCCACAGCATTTCACCAACATGGTACACTTACGAACATACAGGGAAAACACTCACACATATAAAATAAAAATAAATCTTTAAAAATAAGTAAGTATAACAAAACAAAAATAATTGCTAGTAGCCACGCATAAGGGCCCAGCATTTGAGAGTGGGGCAGGAGGACTGGTGCTGTGAGTTCTGAGGCCAGTTTGGGCTACATAGCAAGACTCTGTCTCCAAAGTAACAATAAGGAGCTGGATAAATGGTTCAGTGGTTAAGAGCTTGGGCCCTCTGAAAGAGGGCCCAAGCTCAGTTCCTGATACTCACATCAGGTAGCTCACAATTGCCTGTAACTCCAGTTCTAAAAGACCTGACACCTCTGGCCTCCACAGGTACCTGGACTCAGGTGTGCATATTCACACACAGACATAACATATACATAATTAAGAATAATATCTTTAAATAATTATTGTTATGGTAATTAGGTACAAGTGAGATATAAGGAAAAGATTAACATAAGTATGTATGTGTGTGTAGACCTAGAATCTGTTTTTGAGGCAGGGTCTCACTATGTACCCCTAGCTGGTCTACAACTCAATGTGTAAACCAGGCTGGTCTTGAACTCAAAGAGATCCACCTGCCTCTGCCTCTCAAGCACTGGGATTAAAGGCATGAACTACCATACCTGGCCTTAGACCTAGGATCTTATTCTCATATGCTCTAACAAGGATTTAAATTTCCTATGTATCACAAAAGAAATTAAAAATCAAAACTATAGACAATACTTTGTAAGACAGTCAATTGCAAACTCCAGCATTTGTACATTAAAAGAAATGGGGGCTGGAGAGATGGCTCAGCAGTTAAGAGTACTGGCTGCTTCTTACAGAGGACCTGGGTTCAATTCCAGCACCCACATGGCAGCTAACAACTGTCCATAACTCCAGTTTCAAGGGAATCAGATGCCCTCTTCTGACCTCCACAGGCATTGTGCAACACAGGTACACTTACATACATCAGGCAATACATTCATACAAATAAAAGTAATAAAGTTTGTTTGTTTTGTTTTTGTCTTTTTGAGACAGGGTCTCCCTGTAGCCCCAGCTGGCCTGGAACTCACTATGTAGACCAGGCTGGCCTTGAACTCACAGAGATCCACCTGCCTCTGCCTCCCAGAGTGCTGGGACTAAAGGCATATGCCCGGCTAATAAAGTACTTTTAAAGAAAGAAATGACAGTAGCTCTAGATTTCTAAAAGGGTAAGGGGTTAAGGAAATGACTTGGCAGATAAAAGGACCTGAGTTCAAACCCCTAGCACACATGTAAAAAGCAAGTGTGGCCGTGCATGCCTGCAACCCAACACTGTAGGGGCAGAGACAGCAGGATCTGGGGGTGCTGACTACCAGCCTAGCTCCAGGTAGTTCAATGAGACCTTGTCTCAAGGCAGTAAGGTGGAGAGTGATAAGACTTCCTCTGGCATCTGTACATGTATGCATAGCAGCACACCATCTGCAAGCACAAGCACATATTCCACATACACAGACACACCCAAAGAATGAATTAAAAAGAAAAAGATGCCAGGTCTGGTAGCCCACACCTTTAATCCCAACACACAGGAGACAGAGGCAGGCAGGCGGATCTCTTGTGAGTTTGAAGTCAGCCTGGGCTACAGTGAGTTCCAGGCCAGGTAGGGCTAACAAAGTAAGACCTTGTCTCAAAAAAAAAAAAAAAAAAAAAAAAAAATAGCCAGGCGTGGTGGCAGACGCCTTTAGTCCTAGCACTCGGAAGGCAGAGGCAAGCAGATCTCTGTGAGTTCAAGGCCAGCCTGGTCTACGTAGTGAGTTCCAGGGCTACAGGGAAAAAAGATCAAAAAGATCAAAAAAAAATTAAAAAAAATAGTAAAGGGTGAATGAATGTCCACTTACATGTTTTAAGTTAGGCCCCTCTTTCTCTCTTCAACCCACCAATCAATGGACCCAACTACACAGAGGAGCTTCTCCCATACTTAACTCACCAGTTCGGGGTCATCCTCCTCTACATTGGTAGGCTTTCCTTCCTTCTTTAATTGTTTTTTCCGCTCTTTAACCTAGAAAGAACATTTTTGATCAAAAGATGGGCACCCACACTTTAATATCCACCGAGCTGTACACATGAGATGTGCCCTTTTCCACAGGATGGGAATAACAAGTCTGTGTTAAGATGGAGGCAAAAGAGTCCCCTCCCGACCAAAAGGGAAATAAATGAAAAATGTAAAATGCTGTAAAGCAACCAAGGAAGACTAGGACACTGGGTCCTTTCTCTAACTCCACCTGAAATCCATTCTATCAGGAGGACTGCGAGGCAACCAACAAGGGGTTATTCCCAGCTCAAAGACCAAGCCAGATCCAAGCAGCCTTAGAAATGGATAACAGACCACCATTTCTCTCTTCCAACCCATGGTTACAAAATCATAGCAAAGAAAATACGTTTGTCAAGTTTTAGAAGAAGCTACAAAATCTATGGCATTAAGTATAGTTTTTCTAAAAGTGCATTCTGTATCATTTTCACTATGAAATGCCCCCAAATCAGTAATTTTCCCATCATACTAACTGATATGATCATCACTTTGGCCACTACTGAGATTCATGAAAAGTTAAATTCACAAAAAGACTCCATTAGTAACCTACTTGACCACCAAGCCAAATGCCTTCCAATTCAGAAAGGCCTCACTGCCATCTTGTGGCCAGGCAAAACCAAAGGGTAGCTTTTTTGATTTCTCACAGAACTGGGCCTAAAGGTGGCACTTTCAACACAACCAGGACACAGTCCTTTCCTTCTTCTATTTTCTCTCATTTTTTCACCTGAACTGGGTTCATTTCTATTATTACTGGCTATAAAGTTTTGTTTCAGATTTTAAAGCTCTTCCAAACAAAGGTCAAATCCACATTCAGTCACCATTGAAACTGCTCTTGAAATTCCTGCCCCATCAGGTACAAAACAAAAGTAAAGAGCTTTCTAGCTGGGCATGGTGTTGCACACCTATCATCCTAGGACCTGGGACATGGAGCAGAATCAGGAATTCAAGGCCAGACTCGGTTTGAGGCCAGCCTGGACTGCACAAGATCATCTCAAAGAAGTCTTTCCAGCTGGATGTAATGGGACACACCTGCAATCCCAAAGCTCAGGCGACCCAGGCAGCAGGACCAAGAATGTACGGTCAGTCCAAGTTGCATAGTAAGTTCCAGGCCAGCCTGTATCCCAGAAACCCTATCTTAAGAAAGCAAACAATTGCCAGGCGTGGTGGCGCACGCCTTTAATCCCAGCACTTGGGAGGCAAAGGCAAAGGCAAAGGCAGGTAGAGGAAGACAGATCTCTGTGAGTTCAAGGCCAGACTGGTCTACATAGTGAGTTCAGATCAGCTGGGACTACAGGGAGACCCTGTCTCAAAAAGACAAAAAAAAAAAAAAAAAAAAAAAAAAAAAAAAGCAAACAAACGAACAAAAAGGGCTAGAACTGAACTGTCTCAACTGAGTTCTGAATCTTGTTAGTAATCTGAACATGTGCCTCCTCCTATTTAAAATTTACTCATATCCCTGGTCAGCCATTCTCAAGCCTAAACTTCCAAACTCTTCACAGCAACAAAAATAAAAACAAAGAGTCAATGTCACCATGGCCACTCCAGTTTTCCACTCTCAGTGGGGAAGCCTGGCAACATGGCTGAGGTCAAGAGTAGCTTTCTACACAGCACAGGACTGGTAGGGCAGTGGGAGAAGCAGGGTCCTAGCCACTCCTCACCCTCAACAATTCTTTAGGAGTGAGTGTGAGCTTTACACACTACCCTGTGAGTACCACAGCTAAGTGGTGGAGAGGATGGAAGTGGTCACGAGTGGAAGGTGCTACCAAGTTACATTTACCCTTCTGCAAGGTGCCCAAGGCTTGCTGATACTTCCTGTAAACACAGCAGCACTATAAATACTTACAGTGTGTTCCACGTATTCTTTTCCTGCCTGAATTACATCCAGGGCCCTCTTCTTTTGTTCCTGATCCAGTAGCAACTTGTAAGCTTTGTCCACAGCTAATGCAAAACATTGAAGTTAACTGTTTCTGCAAATACCCTCTGAAAGTCTGAACTATACTCAGGTAGTGTAAATGGACTTGCACTGTCTAAAAGCATTCCCTATTTTTTTATTTACTGCTGTTAAGCTAATTTTTTAAAAAGCATACAACCATAGCAATAATGACCTTGAAAGCCTTGGAAAAAATTAAATATACACACAAGGCTAACTATACCACATCTACATTTAACACAGTCATAAAATACTTCCTATTTTGCTTATGTTCAAAGGAAAAAAGTATATTGGCAGATACATAAAACTTTTAACAAAGCAAAATTAAGGTGTACTTTTTTTGGCAGTGCTGGGGACTGATCCTAGGGCCTCATGCTAGCATGCTAGGCAAGCACTACCACTGAGCTAAACAGCCAGTCCCCAAAGACTACTTCTTAAACATTAACACTGCTTAAATGGCTGCTTTATTGAAATGGACAACTTCTTCATGACCAGTTAGCCCCTAGCATTGACAATATATATTACCCAAAAGCAAATAAATCTATAAATACCTTCAAAAGCCTTCTGTGCTCTGTCAGCATCATCTTGATTTTTGTCAGGATGCACCAATATAGACAACTATAATGTAAAAGTTAGGATTGTCAATAGTTAATGAAGTTTTCGGAACAGAAATGGTACACACACAATCGCTCAAAAATCACCCAAAATTAATTCATCTTTAAAAAACAAGGCAGAGCTGGAGAGATGGCTCAATGGTTAAGAGCACTGGCTATTCTTCCAGAAGACCCAGTTTCAAATCCCAATACCCACAACCATCCATAGCTTCAGTTCCAGAGGATCCAATGCCCTCTTTTGACCTCCTCGGGCATTGTTCAACATGGGAGCACCTACCTACATGCAGACAATACACTCATATACATAAAAGTAGTATTTTTTAAAGTAAAATAAAATAAATAATTAAAAACACAAACAAGCTGGGCATGGTGACATATACCTTTAATCCCAGCACTCGGGATGCAGAGGCAAGCCGATCTCTATGTTCAAGGCCAGCCTGGTCTACATAGTGAGTTCTAGGCCAGCTGGAGCTACAGGGAGACCCTGTCTCAAAAAGGCAAAAAAAAAAAAAGCCCCACAAACTAACACAAAGGCTAAAGTAGAACAAACACCTAAACCAGAAACAAAGAGGGTTGCAGATACTATTTGGATATAAAACTCATTACACTCACAGACAAACCTATGAGCAATAAATTATTTAACATTTTGTATCACTGTGAGTTTATGAAAAGCTACCTAACTTGAATTTGGAAAGGGGGTTTATATTTTGTCCCCAAAGTATCTAGTCCTCACAGAATCAGATGTTCAGATTTTCAAAAGGTTCAAACACAGCCTAAGGATGCAGCTCAACTGGCAGAGTGCTTGCCCAGAATGCATGAAGCCCTAGGTTCAATCCCAGCACCCCATAAACCAGGTGTGGTGGTACATGCCCATAACACCAGCATGCAATAGGGTAAAAGCAGTAGGACCAGAAATTCAAGGTAATCCTCAATTATACAGTAACAAGTTCCAGGTGAACCTTATAAATTACATGAAACCCTGTCTGAAAAAAACAAAACACAAACTCTAATTCAGAGAAACAGTACTGTACCTGCCGAAACCTCTTTTTTATTTCCTCGTCTGTCACTTCAGGATCTATCTGAAGAACCTGTAAGAATCAAGATCAAAAGTGTAAAGCTGGACATGGTGGCCCTCACCTGTTATCTCAGTTCTCAGAAAGTAGAGACAGAATGAAATGTAAATTCAAGGTCAGCCTTGTTACAAAGCAAGACTCCCTCTTAAAAACAAAAACAAACAATATACCACAAAAGAATTTGGGGGAAAAATTATTCCATGGGGCTGGAGAGACAGCTCAGTGGTTGAAAGCACTGGCTGATCAGTTCCCAACACCCACATGAGAGCTAACAACCATCCTTAACTCCAGTTCCAGGGGATCTGACACACTCTTCTGGCCTCTGCAGGCATTGCATGACATGGTGCACTTACATACATGCATGCAAAATACTCATACACATAAAATTAAAAGTACTCCTGCAAAGAATCAGAATCTGGTTCCCAACACCCATGACAGGTAGCTCACAATTGCCTGTAACTCCAGCTCCTAGGGATCCAATGCCCTCTTCTGGACACCATGAGCACCTGTACTCAAATGTGTACTGACCCACACACATACGTATATACACATAATTTTATTACATTTTAATTATCTTTGTGAGTTTGCACACAGGTCTCAGCTGGTGTGTGGAGGTGAGAGGACAGATTGTGGCAGTTGGTTCTCTCTGTCCACCATGTGGGCCCTGGGGATTGAACTCAGATCATTAGGCTTGTCACCATGTGCCTTTACTTGCTGTGCCATCTCACCAGCCACATAATTTTAAAATTAAATAAATCTTTAAAGCTGGATATGGTGGTGCACGCCCTTAATCCCAGCACTTGGGAGGCAGAGGCAGGCAGATCTTGAGTTTCAGGCCAGCCTAGTCTACAAAATGAGTTCCAGGCCAGCTGGGGCTACAGGGAAACCCTATCTCAAATAGACCAAAAAAAAAAAAAAGTGGCCAGGTGCAGTGGTTCGGTGGTTCATACCTATAATCGTAGCATTTGGGGGTTGAGGCAGGAGGATCTTGGGTTCAAAACAGCCTTGACTATATGAAACTCTCAAAAAAACAAAATAAGTGAATAGATAAATAAATCTGTCTGAAGATATGCAAAATCCTCTGCCACAGAAGCCACAGCAACAACTCACCTCAAATGGGTTCAAATTAAAGTAAGAGGAACCAGGACGGGTCAACCTTTCAATCTGATTTTTGGATGTTAGAACTGAGTCTCTCTTCTCTATTTGTTTCACCTAAAAGTAAAAGGATTAAAATTTTCGTTAGTAAAAATAATAAACCGGTCTCCTTTAATACAATACTAGCATGCTCAGCAAACGATTTGCTATTATGTACAAGGTATTTTGCTAAATACTTTGAAGAACAGTTACAATGGCAATAATTTTACAATAATAGACAATAAGATGGCACACTGGGCGAGGTGCTTGCCTCACAAACATGAGAATTTGAGTTCTGATCCCAGCATTCACACAAAAGTTGGGCATGGGCACATACATGAACCTATAATCCCAGAGCTAGAAGGAGAGCAATAGGGAGGTCCCCAGAGCTCACTAGATGGCCAGTCTAGTCAATCAGTGAACTCCAAGTTCCATGATAGATTCTGTTTCCAAAAAAAATGGTAAGGGCTAGAGAGATGGCTCAGCGGTTAAAAGTACTCACTCTTGCAGAGGACCAGAGTTTGGTTCCCAGTACCCACAGAGCAGCTAACAACCACCAGTAACTCCAGTTCCAAGGGATCTGGCACTCTCCAGTTCCAAGGGATCTGGCCTAGCACATGGTACACTTTCATAAGTGCAGGCAAAATACTCATAACAAAAATAAAAATAAAGTAACTTTAAAACATAATATTTTTTAGGGGCTAGATGGCTCAGCGGTTAAGAGCACTGACTGCTCTTACAGAGGACCCAGGCTCAATTCTCAGCACCCACGGGGTGGTTATGAACCGTCCTTAATTCCAGTTCCAGGGGAATCCGAAGCCCTCTTCTGACCTCTGCAGCATTGCACAACATGGGTGCACTCACATACATGTGGGCAATGCACTCATACACATAAAATAAAAATAATTAAAAAAAATTTTTTTTTTTAAA